AGAGAGAGAGAGAGAGACAGTCAGCAAACGGCTCTGACACGCTGTGTCACATGTTCACTCCACACGCGAGCGCAGACCGACCTCTCGGCGCTGATGTACTGCGAGGGGACGGGGTTACAGCGGACTCCTGCCACCTGGACGTGAGCGATCTCCTTCACCTGCAGACCCAGGTTCTCCCCCTCGATTGTCACCCGTGTCCCCCCCTCCCGAGGGCCAGTCAGAGGGTCAATCTGTGGGGGAGGAGATCAATCAATCAGTTATTGATTGTTTATTATGTTTCTTATTAAACTGGAACCAGACCGTCCCCTCAGCGCAGGCGAGGTTGCCGGTTGGATTCCTACCTTGCTGATGCGCGGGTGGCTGCAGCGCAGGTTGTGCCGGCCGTGGTGCATCCAGTTCTGTTCGGCTGACGGGCAGTGTTGGCGCAGGAGACACTTCCTGGTTTCGGTGCACCATCCGCATTCGAAGGCGGCGGGCGCTTTGAGGCACTGACCGCAGCTGGAGCGCTGAGCCTCGCACTTATAGAGCAACGCTGACACACAGATACAAAATCAACTTTACTGATCCACACGAGTCACTCACACAATTTACTTCATTGTTGTTCTTCTAGATACACGATTACAGATTCAATGACTTTGTTACATATATCTTTATTCTTATTTATTAAGAGCAAAGTAAAATTATATTGATAATATATCCTTAAAAATACTGTAATATACTTTACTAATATACATTTACACCATCACTGATCAAATAAGATGTTATTGTGTGTTTTATTGCACTATTGAGGTTGTTTGTGTAGAAATGTGCCGTTTAAATAAAGTTTATACATGTTTTTTTTATTTAGCCATTATGTTCATCAAACATAATCAATAAAAAAAAAGTATAACTTTATCGCTCGTACAAAAACATTTATATCTATACTTTTATTGTATTTAATATATATATATATAGGAAAGCGACTGGCATCAAGGCGATGTGTGGTCTGGCGTCTGCCCAGGCTGAAAACAACCAGTTTTTCCAGGCCAGCCATTGAATTTTGCACGGCGGGCGCTGTTGGTGCAGCGGGAAGGGCGGATCACGAGGTTGGGTCGGGTCAGGATGTTGAGGATCTGAGCCCGCTGTGATGCATCGAACGGCGTGACCAGCTTACTTGACGAGTTCGGGAGGCGTCAGATAATTAGGGGACGGGTTGCATCAGAAGGTGTGTTTTACATGTTAAACTAAAAACTGTAAATTTCTTTATTAAAGCAGCTGCTGATAAACTCTATGTTCGTTTGATATGTAGTGATTGCAATCAGGATGAATCTAGTATCAAGTAGCGTAATATTCCCCTTTGTGCCTGCGGTCAGTGTGTGGTGGTTGTCAACTTGACGTGGTTTACCTCACTGTTTAGATCTTTGGGTGTTTGAAACGGCTTCAGGGACGGTTTTCTTTGGGTTTTCGGGTGGTCGGACTGGATGCCGAAACAGCTGAAACTATTAAGAGGGGCTGAAGTTTTTTTGGGAGGAACCTGAACCGATGGTCGGGTTGGACCTTTTTTGGTTCCGGGGCGACATCCAGGCTTACATTGAATTCACAGCGACCGGTCAACAGCGACTATGAACCTCGTGATTCCGACACCGTTGGAGCGGGGCCGGCCTGGGATTGAACAATCCCATTCCTAACTAAGCACAAGGATCCAGTTGGTGGAGCGGGCGCCTTCTTCGACCGGCCGGCTCGGAGGACCGGAACGGGGCCAAACGGGGAAAAACGACGTTGGCGGGAGATCTTGGCAGAGTTTGTTGGGTTGTTTTTAGAATCCGAAGGACGGTTTGTTCAGAAAATGCTTACAGATAAAGGAATTATCGTGGTCGGGTTTCTGTCCCGCAGGCAGGCCGAGGAAGGCCCCGACTCAGAATTTCTGAATAATTATAATCATAGTTAATAATAATCGCATATTTATGGGCTTACAATAAAGACCATGCGGCGACCTTCCCCGGGTCAAGCTCAGTTGGGGAGTCACGTGATTTGCTGTTGCTATCGGGTACAATGGAAGCGCCGCTGGGAGTTGGCTGTCAACCCAACTTAATCCACCCAACCATCAGAGTCCTTGCACGGGGGTGGGAGGGGCCCTTGAATTAG